CTATGAAGAAATGTTTCTTGTTTTACTTTAGGTTTTGTTTCTTTTTAGTAAAAAGAGAAAATAAGATGAGGGAGGAAAGCCCAAGCATAATAATTAGTGTCATTATTGCTATACTTAGTACATACCAGTAAATAGAAAATAAAGCTTGTTGCATTCATTGACATAAAGCCATGATTCTGGCATATTTTGTGTACCTTTAGGTTAACATAATGGAAAGAGATCATATCAGTTTCCTCATTCATAAAATAGGGATAATAGTACCTACCTCAAAGAGTTGTTGTGAGGATTAAAAGAACTGATATTTCTGAAGTGCTTGGAACAGTGTCTGGACCATAGGGAAGAATTCATAAGGGTTTGATAGACAGAAAAGAGCTGGAAGTGAAAATTACTGCAATCAGACTAAACAAGGTCTCAGGAAACGAATATACAGGAAGAAAAAATGCCAGAGAAGACCACACAGAAACCTTTTATTGTAGATTTAAAATTCAAGAGTTTGAGTAAACAACAATTCTTCAGTATAAGTATGCCTGACACATCACATAGTGATCAAATTATGTAAAACACCATGGCTGCCTTGAATGACTACAGCTATAGGAGAGGGAAGATGGTTCACAATGTACTGATCAGAAACACACAACTCACTCAAACACATCAAATATGTCAGCCACACACACAGCTTTATTTTATAGTTCCATTGCCATCTTGATTATCCAAATCATGTACCTGACCAATTAGATAACATTACCTATGTAGAAAAACTTTATTATTGGGCCTTAATTTGTGGTTTACAATGTTTAAAGTTCACTTAAACCACAATTCACTAGAGTCACTTTTTAGTTAATTGTGAGGAAGAACAGAGGCAAGTGACGAGGACCAGCACCAGCATCTCTGTTGTAGGACTGGCCAGCCTTTAGAAATAGTCACTAGGTAAAGACCTCAGGTAATTTGCTTTAGAGTCTGGACCATAAAGTGTTAAGGAGATTATTAGAGCCATCACCGTCTCCCAGCCTCCTGCCCCAGACTTCCTGACCCTGCCCTCCCTACCACCCCCACAGCACCCCCACCCCTGTACCACCTTTGGCCACTATGCCAGCAGACTGTCAGTACATACTGATCTCTTAAACACCTCTAAACTCACTGCTGCCTCCACCTCCTAGTTTTTTGGTTTTCAGTTCAACTGACTATAAGATAAAGCAACAAGGATCGAGTTCAAACCACGTATGGAAATAAGCAATCACCTAACAGGATCCTAAATTCTACTGTCTAACATGCCATCTCTATAAATACCCAAAATGCGAAATATAAACATTATAATGTGTTTTTTATGCACACTATTTTTTGATCAAATTACAAGGTAACCAAATCATTTTTAAAATAAGCTCTGGAAATATAAAACTTTTTTTAAAAAAACATTACAAAATTAACTGGTAACTTTTAAAAAAAGGAAGGCTGAAAACTAGACCAAAGGAGAATATTTGGGGTCATACATAAAGAATTACATATAAAATAAATAATGCTCATAGTTGAAAAACAAGTAAGTCCCCAACTATAAGAGGTCTGTTGACTTTCATCAAGCAATACGGATTATATGGAAGGAAACATGTGATAAACATTTGCTGACTGATGTCCAAAACCACATTATATAACTGTTACAAACAACTGGCTCATAAGGAAAACAATTGTTTACCTTAAACTGTGTTTATATCACTTAAATTATGCACAACACTGTATAAAAGTATAAGTTTTCCCCAAGCACTTGTGGTTTACCAAACAGCTTAAGACAGCTTATCTCCATTTTAATTGAAAATATGAAAAATGAAACACATGCCCGTAAAAGTTTTTCAGCTTCTATCAATCACTATTAAAAATCCATGTCACTAAACACCACATCCTATCACAATAGCCATGTGTCTCCTGTGCCTTTTCTCAGCACAGTAGTTCTGATCAATAGCCACTGTGCACAGCAGGTCGGTTAACAATACCTTACATTTACAGCATTTTGTCTTGAGGTCTCAGAGCCACATTGTTCTCCCCAGCCACAAATCTAAACCTAAGTGTTTTGGTAATGAAGGAATCCTTTAAAAACTACCATCCTTCACAAATATGCTTTTATAAATACTGCAACATACTGCACTAGATGCCAAATTACCAACCAGTAATCATGTTATCCCAGTGCAACTAGAATTTGCAAGAGAATGTTGACCTAGAAACAGCCAATAAAGGTTTCAGTGGCTTTAGGCTGCCCATGCAGGCTTACGTGGTTACAAACAACTGACTTTCCATGGCACAAATATAACATTAATTCTAACTTAAACAGGAATATTTGTGGCTCCTTTTTATGCCTTTGGATATGAGTCATAAACTAAATTACAGAATTCTTTCAGGTAGAATACAGCTGTGGTGACAATTATCAGACCATATATTACAGCTTATACCAAAAATTAGGGCTAGTTTTACTTCATAAAATTAAAACTCGTAAGCTAGACATGCAGGAAGAGACTCTTACTCCTGCGAAACAGCAAGAGTGATGACTAGTATTTTACACCTGAGGATGTGCAGTGCCGCTGCCTACTTCCACAAGGTGGCTAAAAGAAGGACAGAAAGCACACTTTCTGTTTGCATTTTCTAAGGACATATTGCGGATATCATAGTATTTTTTCTTTCGTTATCTGGTTATGCACCTACCTCAGAACACTAGTAACACATATAAACATGCCAGATTATTGTTTTCCACTGCACTGACACAAGCTTCATTTCATGCTTCAGAGCTCTCAGAAATAAACCACTACACCAAAGCAGTGCATGCAATACATGACTGTTGATTTCTGTGGACTGACTTATTTTTTGGCAGAAAATGATGCAGCTTGGAAGAAGCCAAACTATACTGAATGTTGTGTTTGTGTGAGCTAGCAGCAAAGGCAAAGTACCCATCCTTACTGCGCTAAATTCATAATGGATATCTCCATTCCTCAGCACTCAAGATTAAGGGCCACCACATACATGTTTAGGCTAGAACTCACAGTGTGGGTTTCATCTGGCTGAAAGCATGGACCATGTTCTTTTACTTGAATACTTGTTTTGCTAACAAAGATCTGAATAAAGCTGTTCTTTTGGTCCCTTAGAGAAAAATAATAATTTATTTATAGTAAAAAACAGGAAACTAAATTCTGTCTATATAATGTGCCTAGGCTTCAATATCCTGTTTCCCTTTCATGCTTAAGTGAGAAAATACTTTTCTCTCCTGTTTATCTTCTCAAAACAGATCTACTTCATTTTAATCAATGTACCATTTCATTCCCGTCATGAAAGAGTGTTTAGCAGAGTATCTGTGAATCTTTCACAGGTAAAACTCAGTTTCAAGCCAAACCCAAATGTGAAATAACCTGCAAACTGTTACTGCAACTTCAACACTTCAGTTTCCAACACAGTCTTCTAATGAAGCGGCATTACTTAGAATTGCTGGCAAATATGAACAGACTGAGAAACCTAATAATCAGCAGGCTAACAGGTGTTGAAATCCCAAAAGAGGGAAGAGGAATATTAGATAATCACTCTTTGCCTGACACCTCAAGTAACTGCAATATCCAGAATTCCAATCAACTTAACTGCAATTCAAAATGATCCGTGCTACTGTTTGTTTTCATTAATTACTTTCTAGCAAATATAATTTCTTGCATTCCATATAGAGTTCTTTAACTGACCTATTCCAATTCGCACATTATTTTACTAAGTTGGGTATACAATTTAATACGTTGGATCTTTTTCCAGTTATCAATACGACATCTCATACTGTTCAATTTGATTTAAAACAAAGCTTGACATATATACAATTTCCTTCTGAATTGATCAGCTGTATTTCTGGAAATGTACTGCTTTCTTTCATATTATTACATGTAAGATGATGTCTAAGTACCCAAAAAATAAATCTGTGCTTCGAGTCTGCAACAAAGTAATTATCACGAAATGATTGCAAGGCTTGGGGCCACTTAGAAAGGGCCGGGGTACCTGTAACTTGAGCAACTCCCTACCCAGTGCCCCAATGCCCTTGGCAACCGCATTGTGGTCCTCATCATCACACTCATAAACACCGATGCAAACACCGCCCAGCTACCTGCCTCCAGAGGTGCCTTGGATTGCCTCCCCACACATAAAAACACGAGGCATTTTCCAGTTCCTTAGAGCATGAACACAATACCTTCCAGAAACAAAAGCAATGCATCGGTGCCATGCAGTATCGGTCCTGGTATAAACTCTGGTCTTGATGGCCGGGGAAACCGGGCTACCCTTACCATCTAGTTATAGGTGCAACTGCACCTTCCAAAGAGAAAGGTCCTTCGATTCAATATCCAAACGAACTTCAGAAGCCCCCTCAAAATGCTTCAGCCACAGGCATAAGAATGGGCTCACTTTTCAGAGATTTGTACAAATCTTTCTCTTGTTCCTCCTACTACCCTCCCATGCCCTCCTCAAAGAGAATAAGCTGTCAAACATGAAAGTCCAAAGGTAAATCTTTTCATACCTGTTTTTCTCCCTAAAAGCCTCGATGGCATGCCAAGAAGGAAAAGAAACAATTCAGGGGCAGCTCCAGTGAGCAGGTGCAGCCGCGCGGGCTCCGGAGCCGCCTTCGACTCGCAGCCCCTCAACTTGGTGCCAGGACGGCGGCTCCCGTGGTGCCAGGACGGCGGCTCCCGTGGTGACCGGAGGGAGGCTCCGCGCGCCGGCCCGGGCGCCGCTCCGCCCGAAGTTTGCCGCCCCCTCTCCCCGGGGCGCGCGGACGGTCCGGCGCCGTCCGGGACTGCGGGGCTGGCGGCTGCCCCCTGCGTGGGGGAGGCCGCGGCGGCGGCGTCGGGGGCGGGCGCGGGCGGTTTCCTCAGTGGGGATGCGCCCCCGGGGACTCATGCGCAGCCGCGCGCAGGCACTGACCCCGCACCCGCCCGGCGGATCCCACCCTCGCCGGCGCCCCACCGACCGCTCCCAGGCCGCGGGCGCGCTCGCCTTACCTGGCCCGCGGCGGCGCAGGGCTCGGGAGCCGCTCGGGCCGCGGCGGCGCCTGGGAGGGAGGCGCCCGCGGAGGAGGAGCTCGCGCGAGGAGCCAGCGGGCTGGCGGGCTGGCGGCTTTGTCTCCACCGCGCGGAGCCGCCGACCCTGAGTCACCATGGCAACCGCCGGGGCCCCCGGCCCTTCCCCTCAGCAGTCCCGGTCTATTCCGAGGGGACAAAGACCCCCGAGGGGCCGCCACCGCCACAAACACGACCCCCTCCGTCGCCCTCACAAACTGCCGGTTTCTCCCCGGCGAGAGCGGAAGGCAGCGCCCCAGGGCAAGTGGTATCGGCGTCCTGGTGGGCACTCCTCTGCTTTCCCACACTGGACGTTCCAACTCCCGCGCACCACCTGCCCCCACACACCCTCCACCACCACCGCCACACCTGTCTTCTGTGGAGCTGTACCCTCCAAACGGACATTCACTTAAGGGAGGAGAAAGAGCAATGCAAAGTGATCAAGTGTTGAGCAACTGGTACTCGGTGCTCCTGTTGCCACTGCCGCAGCATGCACGGAGCTGCCAAGGGACGCCGTGCCGCCGCCTCCCTCTCCCCCTCCTGCTCCTCCCTCTTTACCGAGCTTTGCCTCTGCTGGATCTGGTCTCACTCCGCCCAAACCGGGTATCTGTCTTGTTGAGGGCTCCCGTAGGAGAGAGGGGACAGGGGACTTTATAGCCTTACAAGCTGAAACACAACTTTCAGGCTGCAGTATGGATCTCAGCTGCTGCCACACTGCGCAGCTCCTGGCTGTGACTGCTAAGCATCTGCCATGAGCCCTGAGTGACTCTGTGCCAAGGACCGGTCATGTACTGCAGGCCAGGGCACTCAGGGGCAGAGAAAGGAAAGCTAACTTTTTCCTTTCCTAAGGAAATTCTTAGAGAGGGAAAGAAAAGTACTAGCAGACCGTTGGTCATGCTTCCCCTAAAGGACGAGCTAGAGGGCAGCCACCGTGGGGGGAGTGAGTCATCACTCCACACGGTTTTCTTGAAAGATCCGTTGCTGAATCCAAAAGCTGCAGTGCCTTTCTTTAAACCCTGGGGAACATGACATTTATTTTTTGACATTTGTGAATCACCAAAGGAATGTCAATAACTTATAATAAAATCCAGGGTGGGTGATGTTTTCTGGGTTTACTTCTTAGTTGAAAAGTCACAAAGTGGAACAACGTTATTGGCATTCGAAGGTACATATATTAACAAATGAAAAGATAAGATCTATTTCATGGTGCAAAAGGAAAACAATGTGTTCCTCCCTCCCCCACCCCAAGAGACTGGCCACTTTCTTGTAGTGGGAATATTCTGAATGAAGTCAGAATATTCCAGATGAAGTCAAAAGACAAGGTCTTTCTGGCAGGCCGTTAGGCATTTGGCAATACCTGCCAAAATTCAAAATGCACATACCTTTCTCCCAGCTATCTCAGTTCTAGAGATCCCTCATATAGAAATACGCAGATGTGTAATGATAGGTATAAAAGGATGTTCATTGCAGACGTTTTGTAATAGTAAATGTTTGAAACAACTTACATGCCCATCAATAGCGATATGGTCAAATAATGTGGCACATTCATAGCATGTAATACTATGCATTCATTAATAAGAATAAAATACATAAAATTCATCGAGATTGATTTCTTATTAAATGAAAAGGGAAGCTCAGAACAGTATGTGTGGGTGATCCCATTCTGTACCAAAAAATTCTGGATAGATAGAAACAGGACAAAAAAAAATACAGATAAAGGTCTCTAGGAATGCCTACCTAATTGCTAGCAGTGGTAACCTGTTAACTACAATAAAAATTGAAGGGACAATTACCTATTACAATGTACAATTTAGTACACATATTTGGTTTGTTTGGCTTTTTTAAATGAGCATTTATTAGTAATTTATCAATGAAGAATCAAAAACAAAGAGCCTTAATAAATGCTTGTTGAGCACCAGGAGCTCACCAACTGAGCTAACCGGCCGCCCGACTTCCTGGTCAACATGGTGAAACCCCGTCTCTACTAAAAATACAAAAAAAAAAAAAAAATAGCTGGGCATGGTGGTGCGTGCCTGTAATCCCAGCTACTCAGGAGGCTGAGGCAGGAGAATTGCCTGAACCCAGGAGGCGGAGGTTGCGGTGAGCGGAGGTTGCGGTGAGCCGAGATCGCGCCATTGCACTCCAGCCTGGGTAACAAGAGCAAAACTCCGTCTCAAAAAAATATATAAAAAATAATAAATAAATAAATGCTTGTTGACCTACACGTTACTGCCTGATCAAAACCTGAATACAGAACAGGGAAGGACCGTTGACTTGGCCATCCCTGCCCTCAGCTGAAGGCTTGGAAAAGTCCACATTGTGTCCCCACTTAGAGAATTGCTTGGTGACCTGTTCCTGCCTTATTCTGTGAGAGATTCTTCCAGACATTCATTTTTCCAAAAGAGGTTTAGCTTTCTCTTAAGGTCTGCTTCCATTCTGCCTCTTGGAGAAAATTAAAAGACTTGTCAGGAAACCATCTTAAAATGTGCCACCTTACTTACCAGGGGATATCATTTGAATAGGTGAAGTAGCAGCTTTTAGTCTGTTTAAACTGAAAATGAAGGGACTAAAGCTTAAAAATTAATGTGTGGATACATGAGTAGCCTTTCTTATTTCCACCACTTACAAAATGAGGTTAAAATAATGAATTTGCTTTCCTAAAGAGATATAGAGCTGTACAGTCAAATTCATTAACTGCTAGCCACATGTGAATTAGCTACTGAATTGACATGTGCAGTAAGTGCAAAATACACACCGGATTTCAAAGACTTGGAACAATAACTTTTAAAAAATAATATTTTATGAATAATGTTTATATTGGCTACATGTTAATAGTTTGAATTTATTGAGTTAAATAAAATATATTATTAAAATCATTAACACTTGTTCCTTTTCACTTTTTAACATGATTATTAGAAGATTTTAAATTATATATGTGACATGTTAGCTCTGTCTTAGTATTAGTGTTTACAGAAAAATCTCATTAAGAAATCTAAAGTTAGCTATTCTTCTTAAACCTCTAAAGTATAATTACCTCATTAATGCTCCCCAACTCATAAATATGCCACAATATGGCAATTTCTGTTAAATAATTTCAACTTATTAGACTACTATTATATACAAGCATTAGCTTGTGTGTTTATATTTTTTATAGATTTTAGTACAGACGCTAAAGTTAGATTACCAGGACCTGAATCCCAGCTGTTTATCAACTACATGACCTTAGCAAGCAATTTAATACATCTGTTCCTCAGTTTCCTTATCTATAAAATAGGGATTATAGGGCAGAATTGGTTTCCCATGGAAGCAAAACAGCCCTTCCGGAGAGGATCCAAGATGGCAGAATAGGAACAGCTCTGGAGTGCAGTTCCCAGTGAAAACGCAGAGGTTGAGTGATCACCTTGTTTCCAAACGAATTTCTACTGCCCACAGACCAGGAGATTTCCAGGTAGAAAGTGCCACACGTCTCCAGCATGGCTGTTTCAGCCAGCACAGTGGGTCTCCTCACAAAAACTCACACAAATCTGGGCGCCATTTCAACTGGCAACTGGAACATCAGAGAGACAGAGTTGCACGTCCAACTGAGAAAAAGGGGGCTGAAACAGGGAGCCAGGTGATCCAGCTCAGCTGGTCCCACCCCCACAAAGACCAGCAATCTGAAACACTCTGAACTGAGAGTTTCACAGCAAGCACAGCTGGACCAGGGACAGTCCAGGTCTGTTGGGGGAAGGGCGTCTACCATTACTGAGGCAATTCACCACTACTGAGGCAGTCCGCCATTACTGAGGCAGTCTACCATTACAGAGACAGTCTGCCATTCCTGAGGCAGACTGCCATTACCAAGGCAGTTCTCACTATACCCCTATAAACAAAACTGCAAAGAAGTTGACACAGCAGCTGGGCAGAGCCCATGGCAGTTCAGCAATGCCTCTGCCAGCAGACTGTGACTAGGCTACCTCCTCACTGGGCAGGGCACCTCTGAAAAAAGGCAGCAGCATGTCAGGAACTTATAAATAAAGCCCCACCTTCCCAGAGCACCTGGGGAAAAAAGGCGGTTATGAGTTCCACTGCAGCAGACTTAAACATACCTGCCCAGCAGCTCTGAACGGAAAAAAGGAGCTCACAGCTCAGCACTTGAGCTCCTATAAGGGACAGACTGTCTTCTCAAGCAGCTCCCCAACCCTGTATAACTAAAGAGACACCTCATAAAGGAGAGCTCAGGCTGACATCTGGCAGGTATCCTTCTGGGACAAAGATAACAGAAGAAGAAACTAGCAGCAACCCTTACTGCTCTACAGCTGCTGCAGGTGATCCCCAGGCAAGCAGGGTCTGGAGTGGACCTCCAGAAGTCCTATAGCAGGGGGGCCTGACTGTTAGAAGGAAAACTAAGAAACAAAAAGAAATAACTTCATCAGCAACAAAAAAGACTTCCACTCAGAGACTCCATCTGAAAGTCACCAACCACAAAGACCACAGGTAGATAAATCCAAAAAGATGGGAAGAAACCAGCATAAAAAGCATGAAAATATGCAAAACCAGAACACCTCTCCTCCTCCAAGGGATCACAACTTCTCACCAGCAAGGGAACACAGCTGGATGGAGAATTAGTCTGATGAATTGACAGAAACAGGCTTCAGAAGGTGAGTAATAACAAACTTCTCTGAGCTAAAGATCATGTTCTAACCAAATGCAAAGAAACTAAGAACCTTGAAAAAAGGTTTGACAAAATACTAATGAGAATAAACAGCTTAGAGGGGAACATAAATGAATTGATGAACCTGAAAAACACAACACTAGAACTTCACGAAGCATACACAAGTTTCAATAGCTGAATTGGCCAAGCAGAAGGAAGGATATCAGAGATTGAAGACCAACTGAATGAAATAAAAGAAGGTAAGATTAGAGAAAAACGTAAAAAGAAATGAACAAAGCCTCCAAGAAATAGAGGATTATGTGAAAAGACCTAATCTACATTTGATAAGTGTACCTGAATGTGATGGAGAGAATGAATCCAAGCTGGAAAACACTCTTCAGGATATTATCCAGAAAAACTTCCCAAATCTAGCAAGGCAGGCCAACATTCAAGTCCAGGAAATGCAGAGAACACCACAAAGATATTCCTCAAGAAGAGCAACCTCAAGGCACATAATCCTCAGATCCACCAGGGTTGAAATGAAGGAAAAAATGCTAAGGGCAGCCAGAAAGAAAGGTTGGGTTACCTACAAAGGGAAGCCCATCAGACTCACAGCAGATCTCTCAGCAGAAACCCTACAAGCCAGAAGAGAGCAGGGGCCAGTATTCAACATCCTTAAAGAAAAACACTTTCAACCTAGAGTTTCATATCCCGCCAAACTAAGCTTCATAAGTGAAGGAGAAATTAAATCCTTTATGAACAAGCAATTGCTCAGAGATTTCATCACCACCAGGTCTGCTTTACAAGAGCTCCCGAAAGAAGCACTAAACATAGAAAGGAACAACTAGTA